AACATTAAGCATGAAAAACTTGAGCGGAAAAATGAGCATCCTTCTCAGAAAAACAAAGTGTTAGACTGTCTCCCTCTGAAGACTACATCCGTGAAGACGCCCCATGGGGCGCGCCTCTCGCAGCCGTTTGTAACTTTAGATACGAGTGGAGTCTTTTCAGAGAGTATGATATAAAGAAGCAATATCAATCGGTCTCTTGGCATACTGAGTTTTCGAACCTTTACACCTTCCCCCACGTTTACGTGCAGCCATAGAAAACATAAAACCACGCAGCAATAACATCATGTTGCTCAATTTTGTTGCTGAATTATATTCGCGTATGGATGCGCTCCAATGCGAAGGTACCTATAAGAGGCGGGAATCCCAGCTTTCAAAAAGGAAAAACGAGCGCCAAATCCTTGTACTAACTTTTTCAGACGATTTTTGCTTGCTTTTGTTTTGTTTTCTATGTCACTTGCTGCAAACATCTCATAGTATTGTAATGTAGTGTCCGATTGATCATTATAAGTTTAGTGCTTCAGTTATGAACGTTGTAGCGGGGGCAGTTCAACAGGTCGAAGACGTTGACGGACTTCGCATCCAGTCGGAGTTTAGCCGCTTTTTAAAAGAGTGGGTGTTAGCTTCTATCCTTATATCTTTCCTTCGCTACATCAATTATTTCCCTAAACTTTGCCAACAGGTAAAGGGCCTCTCTGGACAAGAATTGTGTGTCCGTTCATTTTTATTTAGATTGGCTCTAATAAGTTGTGGAATGCATTGGTAATAAGGAAACGGATGAAATTGATCTTCTTATGGCTCTTAGTACCGCCATTCAGATTTACCGACGAGAATGGTGTGAGAATTTATGATAACGCCATTTCGGCTTTGATTGAGCCCGAGAGAAACACACTATATGTGGACATGCGTCACATCCATTCCTACAGTGCTACCCTTTACGGAACAATAGAGCTTCAGTTTTACAAGTAAATTTTATTTTTCTGTATGTTTACAACTGGTCTGATTGAAGCGAGATATTATTTAGGCTTTATCCTTATGTATGTGAAGCCCTGCAGCTGGCCGTTATCGATAGTTGCAGTGAAGATGCTGACAGGCACCGAATGCATAAAAAAGAAGTTTACGTTTCTTTTGCTGGTCTTGAAAACCGCGTCAATGTACGTTTCAACTTATCTGATTAATATTAGGTAGCATAGATTACTTTGCCTTTAGGTTCGAGAGTTAACGGCGGAAAAAATAGGTGCTATGGTTTGCATTAATGGACAGGTCGTGCGTACCCATCCTGTTCATCCCGAACTAAGCCGGGCTACTTTCATTTGCGAGGATTGCGGAGTCACAACGAGGAATGTTCTTCAACAATTTAGATATACACAAGTACAGATTCTTTATCTGCTAGCTCTTACTGTACTTTTTGAAGATGACTTAGTTTATGTAAACTTTGCAGCCGACGCGTTGTACAAATCCTCAGTGTATGAATCGTAATAGATTCAGTCTTGATGTTGATGACTCTTCATTCGTCGATTTTCAAAAAATTAGGATCCAGGTTAGTTGTGTCACCGAAAGCTATACTTCATTTAGTATTATTCTGCGTCAGTTAAAATTCAACTTTCCCCTTTTTAGGAAACTCAAGCTGAGTTGCCTCGCGGTTCTGTTCCAAGAACATTCGACGTGATTGTTCGTGGAGAAATGGTTGAGTCTGTCCAGCCAGGTGATCGATGTTCATTGACTGGAACTCTTATAGTTATTCCAGATATATCTCAACTGAGTTCCCCAGGTATTTTCTCCTAAGTTTAGCTCTTTTTTTAAACTTTCAGTAACATTCTCAGGTCTCCGTGCCGAAGCTGGTGGGGACAACCGTGGTCGCGCTTCAGAAAGGGATGCAGGACTGACAGGGTTGAAAGCATTAGGTGTACGTGATCTTAACTACAAACTGGCATTCCTTGCTTGCCACATTGAGTCTAATAATACCAAGGTAGGTTTTTGGTAATCACACCAAAAAAGATCAAGTTAGCTGTTTCATTAAATAGAAATATATTCCAGTTTGGTGGTAAAGACTTTTCACACGAGAATATTGATCATTTGCGACTTTGGAAGCAGATGAGCAATCAAGAACACGCAGTTTTGAAGACAATGAGTGAAGACAAACGCATTTCTGAAAATTTGGTTGAAAGTCTATTTCCGAATATATATGGAAATGATGAGGTTTGTGGACTTATCTCCCGCTATTTTTCATGGTGGTTCTTGCGGCTTAGCATGATCCTCCAAGGGAATGTCGCCTCAAGCCGCTCCTCCCACTATTTGTTTATTGGTCCTTCAAAGGCGCGTTTGGTCAATAATACGATGTATAAATCGAAAATGATGTACCGGTAATCGCTTTCATAAATACTTCATCCTCATATTATGTAGCACTTTTTGACAGAGCAGGAACAGGGGAGGATTCTTTGATGGGTTAAAAAGGAATGTGGAAAGCAATGGAAGCGCTAAAAAACCGGGCGTATTGGGAAGTTCGTGGCCTTTTGCGTTCTCTTTTTTCTCTTGCTGAAATTAGTTCGGTCACAAGTTGTTCAAATACGTTAGTTCTCTGAGGGCCACACATATATAGCGGGCTGCTAAATAGGAGAAGAATTTGCGGAACGCTACGTGCATATCCGAACGGCGGCTAGCCTTTGATGGCATCCCTTAGAAGAATCATGCGCTTCCTCCGCTTTGCATGCATTTAATGGAATAGTGGTATTCCTCAGATGAATGCATAGCACAACTAGTAATGAACTAATGAAATTTGAAAGCTGACAGTCATCCATCTAGGTAAAACTTGGTGTTCTGCTCATGTTATTTGGAGGAGTTGCGAAAAAGAGCAAAAGCGATGGGACTACCCTACGTGGTGATATCAACGTATGTCTTGTCGGCGATCCATCAACAGCAAAGAGTCAGATTCTGAAGTATGT